ACATGCTGATTAGTATGTAAAATTACAGAATTAACCTAGAATTTAATTTCTCCTTTGTAAAATTCTATGGGCAACTAGGTGCTCCATTGTCGCCTAAAGTTGCCTAGATGCCTTGATAACTATGCTAGCACTCCAAATGCTTCCAAAGTTAAATCAAGAAAGAACTACCATCAAGAAGGTTTTTCACATATGGTTTACTTGACTACACCCAAAAGGCATTCCTAGTTGTTCTCCAGCATCCAAAACTCCAAAAGGATATAGATTTAACTTCCACCACATGACTCTATTTTGTCAAAAATCAAATGAAAGGCCAGGAGGCTGAGATAATGTTGGAGAAAGTGATATAGGATGGTTTGTCCTACAAGAGCTAGGTGGGCCACTGAGCTTAGATTTTGAAGGAATGACTCTATAAGGTGAATTGCAGCTTTAGAAGAGATCTAAGAATTGCAATTTGACCTATAAGGTTTCTAGGTCAGATTCAACAATTTGTTGGTTTTTTCCTATACTGATTAAATTTGAGAGAACCAAGAAAAGTCTATGAAATTTTGTGTACTAACTTAGATTTTTGTATGGGTGAGGTGTCGTCTTGTCGCCTCTCAGATTATAATTCCTTTTTTATATAATGAAAATTTTCCTTTCTCTTAAAAAAAAGAGGTTTGGGTTGTTTAGACAGAAAAAGGACAAATATCCTCCATGAGAGGAAACCCAAACAGTCTGAAAATTTGGGTTTTAGTTGGAATTGTAATGAAGATTTTTTTTGTTGAGAAAATAAAGTACTGTATTGTATTGATATGATCATTTCAAATATACATTCATTTGAGTGCATTCAGAGGCTGTACAAAAATATTTTCATACAGAATTAAGAAAATAGAGAACCAACACCAAAAAATATATAGTGGTTGGACTCCTCTGTGGGGTCCAATGATAGGGTTTAATTTGTCTAGTTATAGTTTGCTTATGTTTAAAATTTCAGAGTCATTKCATAAGTAGGATTAGAGTTATTGAGTCTTCTTTGAATTGAAATAGGATATGACAGCTTAGTTTGAGTCCTACTAGGATTATCAAGTTTAACAGTTTGACTCCTAAGACTATTATGAGTCTAACGGTTTGACTCCTATGGTTATTATGAGTTTAGAGTCTATAAATATGTATGGACGTTTTAGACAAAGGCAATGTAGTTTATAGAGTTTTCTTCAGCTTATGCTAGCTATGGTGAGTGATTCACATAGGCACCCTGTGAGTGATTCTAGGTATTTTCTCGCTTCTTTATCTTCCTATTTTCTCTCTTATTCCTTCAAGAAACCATTACAGCCATGAACAGCCATCAAATTCTGATCCAAGAAGACCATTCACATTCTCCAAGGACTAGAACTGAGCTGGTCCTACATCAGTTACCCATATGATAGCTGCAGGGAATATGCTCCAAAGAACTTTGCCTCTATTACTTAAGCCTTGGATTCTCCGTCCTTGGAAGAGTTTCAATAAAGAGCTTGGTAAGCAGCCTTGAAGACCAAAACAGGATAATGCCAATATCCATAGCTGGTATGTGAAATTGCAATGCATGAAAATCTGAAGAATAATCAGGGAGAACTAAATTTGAAGGAACTAAACTAATCTTGCACAAAAGACCATTTTCCAAGGAGAAAAGAATCAAGAGAAGTTAAAAATAAGGAAATGATGTAGGACCAGATCAGTTCTAGTCCTTAGAGAGTGTTGAATGGTCTTCTTGGATCAGAATTTTATGGTTGTTGATGGTTGTAATGACTTCTTGAAGGAATAAGAGAGAAAATAGGGAGAGAAAGAAGAGAGAAAATACCTGGAATCACTCACAGGGTGCCTAGAATCACTCTAGGGCATGGGAATCACTAACCATTACTAGCATAAGCTGAAGAAAACTCAATAAACTTCATTGCCTTTGTGTAAAACGTTCATACATATTTATAGACTCTAAACTCATAATAACCTTAGGAGTCAAACTGTTAAGACTTATAATAATCTTAGGAGTCAAACTGTTAGACTCAATAATCCTAGTAGGACTCAAACTAAGCTATCATATCCTATTTCAATTCAAAGAAGACTCAATAACTCTAATCCTACTTATGCAATGACTCTAAAATTTTAAACATAAACAAACTATAACTAGAAAATTTAAACCCTATCATTGGACCCCACAGAAAATTGAAAAAATGACAAAAATACCCCTACTGTCCAAAAATACAGAAATACATAAAATATCATAAAATTCCAATTTTGACTATTCAGCTCCTGCATCAGGAAAGAAACTTAATTAGGTTGCCTAGAAGATCCCTAAGAGTGATTTTAAAACCTTGTTAATATTTAAAGAAAAGTTAAGCAGAAGATCTTACTTTAAGACTATAATAGAGAACCAGAAGGGAAAAGAGAGAATATAGATAAAAAGGAGAAACGAGAGAGAGAGAAAAAAAGCAAGAATAAAGGTTTGCATGGAGAAAAACACAGAAAATATTTGCAGCATTTCAGAAAACTCTTTCAATTCATTCTACTTATCCTGTGACTATGAAATGTCAAACACAAATAACAATCAAGCTCTTTGGGGTCAGGTGATTTCTCATCACCTCTCCTGTACCTTCTTCTTCTTTTCTTGAATAAATTTTATTTTTTATTAATCTTCAAAAAACACAAATAACAATCAAATAGCGTAACTACTAGATTTCAAAGTCATCAGAAGAAGAAATTATGGCTCTCCTTCAAGGACTAAAACTAGCCACATAGCTGAATATGAAACAAATAGAGGTTGAAGGAAATTTCATGTTGCTAGTGGGTTGGATGGTCAATAATGATTTATGATAAGATATCATCTGAAAGGAGATAACAACTAAATGACCCAACAAACAAACGACCGGACCCTTTAACAACACCTGAAAAAACAAACACACAACTTACATACCAAAGACTCAAACTAAACCAGACTTGAGCTAAAAACCTGGCAGAGAGGCTCAATCTTCATCCACAATTTCATCCTCCTGGATGATCAATAATGATGAGGGTCCTTGGGTGTACAGGCAGAATGGTAGATGATGAGGGAAATCAGGAGTCTGGCAAGAGAGGTAGGGACCACATTCAAGTGGGTTAACAGATCTGCAAATACCTTAGATGAGCAAGGGGTGTTAAGGGAGCAATTTTTTTGGACCAACTTGTACTCTTAAGATGCTTGGGGGGCTTGGCTCCAATTGAGAGCTTTGTACTGCTAAGTAAACTTCTCAATTAATGAAAGCTAAATATTACCAATCAAAAAATAAATAAATAAATAACATACCTACTAGACTATGTCCCAATGGCACCAAATAAATTTCCCAAAATACCCCTAAACCCCCACATTATTCTCACCCAGTTTGAGACAAAACTTGTTCTTGAGTTTGGTCATTCATATTTTGCTTTGGATTGCCTCTTTGGTGTTGGTTTCCATAATGGATTTTGATGTTCTAGCCAATTCAATGCAATCTGATCTGGTCTTAGGCCTAGGGTTCCATCACCAATGGTGTCAACTCTCTTCAAAAGAAATGACCAAGCAGCACACTTCAATTTGATGGTTTTGAAGTCTTTAGCTTGTAGGTAGAGTGTCTAACTGTTCCCATGAAGAAAAGAGTAAGTACTCTTGTACCCATCAGGCTTCACCTTCTTGCCAAGGGCCAAGGTCACTCTAGGACGATGTGGCACACTTTCAAAAGTAACACACCACATTGCACAGTATCAATAACCTACAAAAAAGCTGATAATGATCACTATATGCTTGAAGAAAAGTTTCTTCATGTTGAGAACTTGAGATGGTGATTCCTGAACATAAAGAGATAATTTTATCTAATGTTGATTTCATCATTCATGCCACTCTCTAACATAAGACATGTAGATCACGAATTGGATCAGTTAATCATTCTTCCTCACTTCAAAATTCAAGAATAAGTCCTTTTTTACCAGGGGAGAGTGATGCAAGCTTGGACACAAAGAAACGATTCATGGAAGAAGAAACCAAGATTCTTCATATTCTTAAACCAAAGGCAATTCCATAATTTTTGGGTCATCTGAATTTTGGTATTTTTAAGCTGTTAGTTTGCTAGTGTCTTAGGAATAGGGATTTTAAGTTTTATAGAACTTTACTAATCTTGGTAAATATCTGAATACTATTTATGGTAAGTCTTAGTACCACTTGTCATCATCTAATATCACCATCCTAATGGCCTATCTCATGAAGTAAGCCTTGGTATCTTAAAAATGTAGATTGCACTAAAACAGAGGTAGTTGCTTTGCCAACTGAATTGCAGACTGCTCTGAGATTGTGACCTCCCACCATTGAAGATGATTGAGCTAATGCTATTAGGTGAAATATCAGCAATTCTTGAGGACCGCGAAGAGAACACATTCACAGGATAAACCTGAAACCCCATTGATTTTTGAACGCGCCAGTGTTCGGTGAAAAAGAAAAAATATCACATCAAGTCGGTGTCGGATTAAAGCACTGGCATGTTCAAAACTCACTGGGGGGTCTCGGGCTTGTCCTCGCAGGAAATGTGTTCTCGACTGCGAAGGCTTTTCCATTATCTTGATGAGATTAGGGATAATCTTTCTCTCAAGTGAATTCAGTTGCAGGATGATTTGGTGATAGGAAGGGTTCTTTTAAAAAGTGACAGTTTTTAAATATTCATATATACCCTTTTGTATTATCAATGTAGATTCTCTCAAGTGGACACCTTTCTCTTTTTTTGATCCATATACACATATTTCTCTTCGTTTTATCTAATCAAGTATAGTTAGCTTCTAAGCTAAGTTGTTTAAGCAAATGTATTAGGCTAAATAAAATGGTATTATTGATAAAAGACCAGGCATTACTGTCCTTGGCAAGTAAGGATTCATTAAAGAGTTTCTACAAGTTGACTAAACTGGCAAATTCAAGCACAAAAACCAAAGGATAATTCCTGATTCCAAACACTAATTAAGGCAAGGAAATGAATCAAGCACAGGCATACCTATAGAGGAGGTCATTCTGAGGAGGCAGAGATTCTTCTCCTTGGGCACCCTGATCAGTTTGAAGATTCTCAAGTTGCTGATCAATGGCTGCAGGCAGCAGATGTGGATGGGTTTGCATTATTTGCACCAAAAGCTGGCCCACTGGAGATTCAAAGCGAAGTGGAGCAATTGGAGTTGTATCATTGTTTGAATGCCCTGAAGCTCTTACTGATAAGCTCCTTGTTCGGCACTTTTCCAGTCCAGCTCCTAACCTCAGAAAGCAAGAAGGGTATCTCTAGAAAAGAAAAGATTCTATAAGAAATCAAGCAATAAGTATTATAGAAAGTCTAGAAAAATGACATTGAGGAAGAAAATTTTAACAATTTCCCTCCCCAAATTCCACTTACCAGAGAAACAAAGCATTAAGTAAACATCTAGCACACACTTTTAATGTAACGGAGGCTAAGATATTTACAATCAGAGATAATCCCAAACTAACTGCTTCTGGTACCTTGGATCAATAATCGATAAAGAGGGAGAAACCAAATAGGATGTCATCATAGAATAAGGCAATTAAAGTGGAAAGGTGCATCCACTGTGCTGTGTGACTGGCATATACCAATGAGACTAAGAGGAAAATTCTACAAGATAGTTACAAGACTAGCATTGCTATATGAGACGAGCTTTGGGCAATGAAGAAGCAACATGCTTACAAAATAAAGTGTAGTTGAGATGAGGCTGTTGAACTGAACGAGTGAAACCTTAGAGAGAACTTAAGAGTAGCTCCATTTACTGACAAGACAACTAGACAAGGAAAGTCAGCTAGAAAGCCTAAAATGGCTTGGTCACATGCATAGACGATCAATGACCAAAGAAAATGTGGTCTGAAGTGGTAAAAATTGATTTAAGGACTTACAGCAGACCATGATTATTAGTTAGTAGAGTAGTAACTATAGTTCTTGGGAAGCGGATACAAGTGCAAAACATGCCAAAAGAAAGTTTATACAGCAATAGAAATGATGAAAATGGAATTTATGTATGGCGAGTATGTTCATAAAAAGTGAAAGAAAGAAATTGAAGAAAGTTGGAGCCAAACCTTGAGAATTCCACCGGAAAGAAGGGACTTGGTATCATAAAATGGGGGGAAACTCTTAAAATCCAGCGACCTAAAACCCCCGGAGGACGGAAGAATCACCAAACCGTCGCTGATAACCCCTGAGATCTGCATCATCTTCTCCAAAAACCTAAATTCAGCCCCTGAACTCACACCACCAAATCGCGGTAGAGAGTTGTTACTACGATGAGAAGAAGAATCGGGAAGGGAGATGAGAAAAATCGAAATTTTGTTTCACGTTCTCTCTGCTAACTCTGGACTCCTAATTCCAGGGTTCCGTTTCGATTCTTCTCAGTGCCAATGATGGGAGAGAGTACAGACTAGAGAGCAGTAGAGCACAGAGACCTGGATGATGATGATGTCCTTTACAAAATACAAATGTAAAAGGTGATGACGTGGCAGATGCTGATAGGAGAAGATATTGGTTTTGTGGATTTTACTCAGATATTTATTTTAGGGGTAATAGCTTATAAGGGCAACTTTTGGGTTTAATATCAATAAAATTAATATATTTAAAGAAAATTTCAAAAATAAATTAACTTTTTTAAAATAATATCGATAAAGTGCAAAGACAGTGTTGATTTTCTTCTCGCTATTTGTTCGTAAGAGTCGTCGTTCGCCGCCGCCTGTTGCCATTCGCCACCACCTGCCACCGTCGTCCGCTTCCGCCTTTGGCAATGTTGTCGAAGGTGGCCGGAGGTAGAGGTGGCAGTGGCAGCACTAGTGATTTCTCTGTTCAACGCCGCCACCATTGCTTCCGCCTCCAACAACGTTGTCGGAGATGGGTGGAGACAGAGGTGGCGGTGGCGGTGGGCAGAGGAATGACCACTAGCGCCGCTGCCGTCCCCTCTGCCTCCGGCCACCTCCAGCAACGTTGCCAGAGGCAGAGGTGACAGTAGGTGGCAGCGGACGGCGGTGGTGGGCGGCGGCGGATGGCGGTTTTGATGAACAAATGGCAAGAATAAGATAAAGTGTTTTTGCCCTTTATTGATATTATTTTTAAAAATTTAACCTATTTTTTAAATTTTTTTAAGTATATTACTTTTATTGATATTAAACCCCAAAAGTTGCCCTTATATACTAAAAACCTTTTAATTTATTGAGTTATATATTTGTGATTTTGTTTGTGTATATAAATTAGTCTGGCTCACAATAACTCTGTGCATGTTTAGTTAGAGGTGTAAAGCAAGCCATGTTGTTCACAGGCGGCCCATGTAAAGTGTAGGCCATCCTAGGCCGTGCCACCCTCCCTTGGGATAACTTGGGGGTCAGCCTGGCACGCCCAATGGCCCAAGCCCATGTTGTGTCATGTCATGTCGTGGGTCAGACCGGGACATGGATTGGGCCAAAGCTATTTATTTAAAATTTTAAAAAACTTAAAATTTTAATTTTATATGAATTTTGATGTATATAATTGCTTAAATATATAATAATTAAATAAATTAATATAATAAAATTAAAAACAATTGTTTATTTTGTTAATATATTATATACTATATATTATTATATAATTATAATTTATATAAATATATAATATTATATTATATTATATATAAATAATATATATGGATCATGTTGGGCTGAGCCGTATCGTGTCAACCCAGCCTGTGGACCTAAAACCCCAGGCCCAGTATGGTCTACATGATCATGCTGGGCCTGATATAGCCCACATGCCATCATGTTGGACTGGTCCAAAGTCAGGTCGGGTCATGTCAGGCCACAGATAACATGGCCCAATTTACACCTCTATGTATAGTATTCCGCACGGGAAATCAAAGATACTCTCAATGCAGGGAGGTAATATACTGTGGATAGAAGTTGGCAGAATTCTTGTGGGAAGAAGATCTGGAGTCATGGTCATGAATGCACAAGATATTTTATCGTCAATTGAGGCTGAGCCTGAGAGACGTTCGCCCTACAAGAACCTGGAACCGGGCGACACTGGGCCACAGATACTGGATGGTTGGGCCAACATGAACTACTGTACTGTTCTTAATGGGTCCTACCAGAACCATGTAGCAAGTAATGGGCCCAATAACAGTATCATACATTATTTTAAGGTTGTATTCGGTTTGAACTTTACCCCTTTTTTCCTAAAATGGTGGTTGCAATTGCATTATTTGATTCCGCATTAACAGGAACAAATTAGCTAACACACTAACGAACCAGCCCTTGGTTCGTTGTACCATACAATATCAATACTTACAAATAGTTATTGTCCAATATTTTAACTTTGTATATATATCACTACCTTTTTCTTCCTTTTTCCTTTCCCTACCTTTTTCCTTAAAACCAAACACAGCCTAATAGTATTCATATAATATCAGTGCTTGCAAATAGTTATTGTCCAATATTTTAACCTTCAAATAAGTATTAGTGCAATAAAATTTTCTGCAATCTAAATGTATTTTCATTTTTTTATCCTTAGAAAGATTCATATAAATCCCACAAATACATCCATAATATTTAATTGTATTAGCGGAGGGGCCCCTGTTTCGTAGGGGTTGGATTGGAATTGTAACATTGATATTTGCTATATTAAAAAAGATAATGGTTTCTTAATAAAAAAACTTGCAATTATAAGTACCCAAGTCTTGAAATTCATATAAAGACTTGAAAGAGATCATCATGTGCTTATTTTTTAAATATTGTTTCAGCAAAGCATTTCATATAAAAGAACATGATCATGCATTGATAGTTCTGAGTTCTACTTCATAGTTGTCCTTTGTTTCACATCGAGAACTCCCAGTTGACCCGGACGATAGGACCATTCGGCCTAGGAACCATCCAAGCAACCGATTCCATTTTACCCCAAACTCGGTCCCTAGCAAAAAATTGTTAAATCAGTCAATGACTCGTTGGCCCAGGCAGTCGAACCTTCGACCTGCTCAACGGTTTTTTGCCATTTTTATTTTTAATTATTTTTTTATTTTTGTTGTCAGAATGGGTCATCCGTTCAAATTGGACGATCAAACTGTTGACTTGGAAATTGGTGGCCAAAATGGTTTCGTTTCTGGGCCATTTTTTCTAGATGTCAATAATTAGATGAAATAACATTATAGTCATAGTCATGGGAAGGGTGGATATTGCAAGGGATTCCAAAAACCTTGAAAGATAAATCCAAAGTGACCTTAAACACAAAAAAAAAAAAAAAAAAAAAAAAAAAAAAAAAAAAAACCAAGGAAAAAAATTAGAAAACCTAAAAAAACCAAGGAAAAAAATCAAAAAATCGAGTCCAAAGTTCCGCTTTGAGATAGAGTTAAACATACATGCAATCAAAGAAAGAAACGAAGCATATCATCTTGTAAAAAAAAACATTGCACGAGAAAACCCAAAGAAAAAACAAAATGGAAGAAATAAAATGGTGGTAAACCCTATACCATTTTGGAGGATCTTGAAGAAGAAGACCAAACAAAAACAAAAACAAAAGCGAAAAATGAAAAAAAAGGAACATACCGCACATGCTCGAATAAAGCTCACAGCAAAAGAAACCTTTGAATAGTGAAAATCCAAAAGCATAAAAGAACCATGATTTTTGAACCGCCGTTGACTCAGACGGTTGGACATTTTGGCCCGGGAACCGTCCAGGCAATCGGTTCCGTTTTACCCCAACCCCAGTCCCTGATCAAAAACCGTTGAATCGGTTAACGACCCATTGACCCAAGTGGTTGAACCGTCCACCCATTTACCTGTTCAATGGCTTTTGGCCATTTTTTTATTTTTTTAATTGGGAACCGTCCAGGCAACCGATTCCGCTTTACCCCAATCTCGGTCCCTAGCTAAAAACTGTTGAAATGGTCAACAACCTATTGACCCAAGTGGTCGAACCGTCGACCCGTGTTCAATGGTTTTTGGTTGTTTTTTTATTTTTGTTCTTACAACAGGTCGTCCGTTCGAACTAGACAGTTGACCGTCAACCCAAAAATTGGTGGCCAAAATGGTTCCGTTTTCGGGTCGTATGAGTCACACGCTCAAATTACATAACACGTATGATATTGCTTAATGGACCTCACACACTCAATTTTGTGCCTGTAACTTTTGTTGTCAGAACGGGTCGTCCGTTTGAACCGAACAATCAAACCGTCGACCCGAAAACCGGTGGCCATAAAGGTTTGTAATTTTTGTTGTCAGAACGGGTTGTCCGTTCAAACAGGATGGTCAAACCGTTGACCCGATGTCAGAACAGGCCGTCCGTTTGAACTAAACGGTTAAATTGTCGACCCAAAAATTGATGGCTAGAACGGTTCCATTTTTTGTTCCATTTTCTTATAGAATAGGCCATCCATTTGAATCGGACAGTCGAACCGTTGATTTGAAAACCGGTGGTCAGAACAGTTCCATTTTCGGGTTGTATGAGTCACACACTCGAATGACAACACACTCAATTTTTTGCCTATAATTTTTGTTGTCAGAATGGGCCATTCGTTCAAACCAGATGATCAAACCGTTGACCGATGTCAGAATGGGCCATCTATTTGAATCGGACAGTCAAATCACTGACCAAAAAACTGATGGATAGAACGATTTCATTTTTTTGTAATTTGAGAATTTTTAATAAAGAATATTTTATATATATATATATATATATTAAAGGGTATTGCGACCCCTTTAAAAATATAATACAGAAAGAGTTTTGACCAATCAAAGCCCACCCATGAATTTTGATAAATGAAAGCTGATTCTCTACCACACTCTGATTTGATAATATTTAAAATTATTATGTGTATTGATTAGAAAAAATTGATTGAACTTTATATATTAACGGCTTAGGTTAATTTTAAATCATTTTTATTCATGATATACATTGTAAAAATCATTTGGTTCATTTTATTAATAATACAATATTCTGATCACTTAGTTTAACGTATTATTCGGTATATGAGTCCAATCCCAGTCTGACCTTAATCCAGCAGATAAGATTCAATTGAAATCCGAACATTTTCTTTCAGTCGCTATAAAGAAATAGAACATTAAAAAATGAAGTTTGGCTGCAGGGATATATCCCATTGTATATGATCCATTTTCAGTCATTCTGTTTGGAACTTCGAGAGCAATATAGGTTGGCATTCCACGAAAGGAGTGGAACTCCTGTCTGATAAGATTAGAGAGTCTAATCGGCGACCTTGAGGCTACCGTTTTCGCCTAAAAAACAGGTTTGTCCCTTTAAGATCCCGCGGCAGATAAGATTTGTTGACCCCAACACATTGTTGGATACATTCATCCAGTTATTCCAACTGTACATTGAAAATATCGGCATCTACAACACAACTGATGTTTCGTATGTGCGACTGAGTGACGTGGTCAGTAATGTATCATTGTCAGATCCAAACTCCTGGAAAACCCCTCTCTC